CAGTGTGTATACTCATATCCAGAAGTGACCTTGACCCCAGTATGAAACCAGGAAGCTGTCCAGTCATGGCAGCTGCTCCATCCGTGCACACACTGACACAAAATTCAGTTTTCCTGATACGTCATTACTCAGAGACTTGAATGATTCTACAGTTGTGGTGTTGGTTGGCAACAAAAGTGCACGTAACATAGCCTTATGCACATCCTCCTGAAAAATATATTGCACAAAAACAAGTATTGTTGCCTTGTTGCTAACATCGGTAGACTCATCAACCTGGATTGAATACCACGGTGACTCACTAATCCTCTCAAACAATTATGCCTCAGTATCCTCTGCTATTTCATCAATTCATCTAGTTGTGGTGCTAGCTGAAAGAGAAGTTTGTGCCACCTTTTGAGCTGCAGGCTCTCCTAAAGGTTCACAGCAGATGTCCTTAGCACCAGGCAGGGTCAACTCTTCACCAAAGCAAAGGGCTTCTTAGCTTTAGCAATGTGGCTAGCCACTAAGCATGATGCCGTCAGTGCAGACACATTTGATGAAGTGGTGGCCTTCAATAATTGCTTCCTTTCTTCATATTCACTTATTTTTTCTTTTGAAAACTCCAAAGTCTTGTCTTGGGTGTCTGGTCTCCGTGTGGCAAAGCAGTTTTGAAGGTTTCATGGCTTCATTGGATAGCCAGTTGCCACGTATTATACAAAGCAGGCCTGGAGAATGTGAATCACCTGTGGCAATGAACCCATAATTTAAGTTTTCTTTTAAATGCAGCTTTCATTTTGTTGGCAGTCATATTCTGCTGTCTCACCATTGGGTCTTTCTCCTTTTTCAAAGAAGCTCTCTAGCAATGTTTGTATTTTACTCATTTTGCTAGGGTTAGCTTGTGGGTTTACAAAAACTGTGACTGAGACAAGTATGCAGTGCGGGGGAAGAGGTTCAGACGGAAGTGGTAAATAAAATAATGGGCAGGCCAGAATCTTTAAGTGTCAGATTCTGACTTAAAGCCTGCCACCAGATGCAGCTATATAATTGAAGTACATCAGCTCACTTGCCAATGTAAAGCCTGCCACCAGATGCAGCTTAATTGTCACTTGCCACTCACTGATAGGGCTTTGATGTGAATCTGCAAGCATTTGATTTACTATGGTCTTTGCTGATGATGATCTGTATTTGCAGCCGCTCCTCAGCACTAGCATGACCACCTCAGCCCCACCTCCTAGATCCCTTACGTGCGCAATTCACAATGGGGTTCACACTTGTACAAGAATCTAATGCTGCTGCTGATCTGGCAGGAGGCAGAGCTCAGGTGGTGATACGAGTGATAGGGAGCAGCTGTCAACACACGTGAAGCTTCGCTAGCTTGTCCGCTGCTCACCTCCTGCTGTGTGGCCCAGTTCCTAACAGGCCACAGACCCGCACGGGTCTGCGGCTCGGGGCGGGGACCACAGGCATAGACAGTATACTCTTTTAAAAAGTGTGTAATGAGGAAACTGAATTAGAATTCAGACTTCCCAGTTCCATTTCAGAATGCTGATATTTAATCATCATAATTTCTTTAAGGAAAGTCTGAGTTGAAATATAAGAGAAAAGAAGTATGGTTTATAATTTATCTTAATTTACCAATCAGTGTTATTATCTCTAAAGTACATTCACGATAAAAGTTATTCATATCTACCTTCTCAGTGTCTTAACTTTCATTTTGGCTGTCAGTAACTTCAAAAAGCATTTGCATCTATATGCTACATACCATCTTTAACGTGGAAACAGCACTCACCGTAGTGCGTGCGTGCAGCCTGTGCACGCCAGCGTCAGTAATTAACACTTGCAGAGTATTATGTGCAGGATGCTTTTTATAGCAGAGAGAATGAGGCAGCGCACAAACTCCTGATATTTTAGAATGTTAAACTTGAACTCTTTTTATTTGTTAAAACTTCTTTGACAACAAAATATAATTTATTCAACAGTATCTCCACAAACTATTTTTCTCATGTTTCTCATTAATTTTTCACAAAATTAGATGAAAGCTTCTCACTAGTATGATCAGCTCTTGCTGTTCATTTCTCTCATGTACTCATAATCTTCTGCAGTGCTGCATTATCATCACCAGAGTAACCACTTCTTATGTCACAGGATTATAACTTCTGGTGGGAAATAAGGCATTTAAGCAGATGGATGCCTAAGAAACCAAGATCCTGTTATTATGCAAATAATTAGAGAGTGGGAGCAAAACTAATATCAGATATGTATGCAGGCATCGTTCATTATTTGTATTTGATAGGAGAAATTCTGAGATGAAATAAGAAAAAGGTGATGTTTAAGCCATGAAGGTAGAAGGGAGCGTGAAAATGATAGATTTTTAAATTGCGAAGAAAAAGTATTTTGAAAAACTGTATTTTTAGAGGTGACAGCTCAGGATGCATCACAAGTTAGGTGTTACTTATGTGAAAAGAGTTAGCCAGCTTACATTCAGGGATATAAAAATTTAGAATAAGGAATCTTTTGGAAATTATTTTTAGGTAAACAATAATACTCATTTTAATAACATGCCATTCATTCCTTTGAATCCTTAGATTCTATTAAATATTTTAATAAAATTCTTTTACCTTATTTCCCTGGCTGACTTGCTCATAAAAAAGAAACAAACTGTGTAAACATTCCTGTAGTGGTGGTTAATATTTGTTAATTTGTTAATATTTGTGGAACTCAATTTGTTGTATTATATGCTTTGCTTTTCTTAATTGGTATTAATGCAATTTCTAGTGTAGAGATTGAGTTTATGTCTTCAGCCTACTTTCAATAACACATGAGTTAAAGGCTGTGTTATAGACAGTGCAAACAGGGCTGGGAGAAAGGGGAGGAAGGCATGGCAGAAGGAAAAGGAAGAAAAGGAAAAGAAGAAAACCATAATGGCCCTGTGAAACACACATAGGTAATTTGCTTCTGATTGTAGTTATATTTTTACTGCATTAAATTTGTTGAACAAATTTGTACTTAAATTTGTTGAGTTATTGAATAGCTTAGTATTGACAGGAAGCCAGCTTTGCTTTAAAAATTCACTGCAAACATCTCTACATATTAATAGTTTCTAAGCCTTAGTTTCCTAGTACATGAAATTGAGGCTTAGTTTAGCTTCTTTTAAGTCCTAAGCATGCATGATTTATAATTTGAAAGCCCATATTTATTCAGCAGTTAGAATCAAATACTATTTGAGCTTTGCTATTTAGTGATGGGATAAACCTTCAATTCATATTATTGAAAGTCTGAACATTTGGTTTCCTAATCCTAATGTTCAGTTTTCTGAGACATCATCCACATACAAATTGCTAAATAATTTAGATAGTTTACATTTTTGTTATTAGAAAATACAAATTTGGAAATTAGGTTTCTGAATGAGATTCAACCAATATTCTTGGCTAGTTCATCTGACTAGTTACCCTGGTAACTAGTATAAGAATTTTCTGAGATCTTATTTGCTGATAAGCATAGGGTCCTGTTATGCATCTACATAACAATATAATAAAACTAAGTGGACATAGTGTGAAACTAAGTGGAGAAAAGTATTTTGTTTCATTTTAGTATGGATTTCCTTAACATTTTTTTCAACATTATGAAGCTAGTATTTCTGAGGCCCTGCTATGTACGTGTTGTGTGTGTGTGTATATATACCAAAACAGATGATATATTTTAAATTGCATTGTCTAATATGATTCAGCAGGAATTATAAAAATATGACCTTAGTTTCAGTCCTTTTATTAGGAAAATGCAAATCTTTCATTTACTGACTTCATAGCTATAATTCCTTTGTGAACCATGTCTTTTACAGATCCTTTTGTTATAGTAATACTTCTGTGGCTGAACTGTCCAATATGGCAACCACCAACCAGCTCAGTTTGGCTATTGAGCAACTGAAATGTGACTAGTCTGAATTGAGATGTAACTGTAAGGGTAAAATACACTTACTTGGTCTTTGAACGTTTATTATGAAGAAAGAATGTAAAATATTAATAATTTGTATATTGATTGCATGTTGGAATATATTAGACATTGGATTAAATAAAATATTGCTAAAATTAATTTTTCACTTGTTTCTTTTTACTTTTTTAATGTGGCTACTAGTAAACTTAAATTACACATGGGGCTCACATTTGTGGTTCTTACATTTTTCTTCTCGAAAGAACTATTCTAGAAGCTATGTTTTATATAAGGAAGTCAGATTTAGAAAGACAGATATTCTTCCTTCTACCTCTTTCCATTCCTATCTTTAATTGTTAGAAAGTATTCTAAAGCTGTTCATATGTTCCAGTAGTTAAATGACATCAATTCTATGCAGTGTAGAATATACATATACATAATGGAAGGTATATTGACCATTGGTTGCAGTATTTTCATATATTGGTGTGCACTATAGAGGGGACAGAAGGAATAAGGAAACTGACACACAAATTAAGAATAAAAAAAGGATCATACTTCTACAGAAACTATAGAAAACCCCATTAAAAAGATCCTAGTACTAATATTTAGGAATTACATATTGTCATCTAGGATTCTACTGTGTCCTATATGGTTTTCTTTGATAATAGCTGACTTTGAAAACCACTGATAGAAAGATAAAGTTAGTGATTTTTAACCTGAGGAACAAAATCTTACGCCAATAGAATATCACTTGGTTTCTATGTTTTTCCTTTTACACAGAATTTTCATTTGTGAAAGAGGGGGTGAAATACTTCACATCATAAGCTCCTAGGACACAGAGAAGTTCTTTAAGCTCCTTTATGTTGCCAGTGAGAATAATCATCTTTCCACTTAAAGAGTGATTGTCTCTTTTGCCCATCCCACTCCCATTTCCATGTTTATTTGTTTTTCCAAAAAGACATATTTAATGCCCTGCTTAGGTTTATTTTCTACTTACTCACTAAATAAGGAATAACACTGTTATGTTTTATATTTGAAATTGTAAGGTACATTTCTTTTTTCTTTTATTTTTAATTTAACTCTTTGTTTTACAGATGAGGGCAGAAGTGCAGTTGACCAAGCAGGTGGTGCACAGATTGTAATTGACCATTTAAGGTCACTGTGCAGTAAAACAGACCCCGCCAATGAGAAGCTCTTGACTGTCTTTTGTGGCATGCTGATGAACTATAGCAATGAGAATGGTAAACAACACTGAAAACTTGCTTTATCTCTGGGGGAAAAATTAAAAATCATATTTACTATAGTACAAAACAAAAGTATATGAAAATTGATGAACAAAGAATTCATAAGTGGAATATAAAATTAATATTTAAAAATTGATGAACAAAGAATTCATAAGTGGAATATAAAATTAATATTTAAAAATTGATGAACAAAGAATTCATAAATAGAATATAAAATTAATAAGTAGCCAACATTAAATTATTGTTTCAGAAATACAAAATGGTTAGTTTACTAAATGGGACTAGTTTCTGAAGGGTTGCCCATGTTAATCAGTACCAAAACAACAACAAAAAAATCTGTGTTTTTTTTTTTTGTGATATGGTTTAAGCATTCTTACTATGAATATTTTAAAAATAAACAATATTTTTCATGTTCATTATATTAATGCCAGGTATAGTTTGGAAACATGAACACTGTTCATATCAGTAAAAATTATTTTATCTAGATACTAGGCTTACTTAGAAGCATTTTTTTTAAAACCTTTAATAAAATCTGGCTTTAGAAATGTAAAGTTCAGAGCAATTGCAGCTATCTCATTCTAGAAATTTAATAAATTCTTGTAAACAGCAGTTTCTTTTCTCTGTAAAACATTTTTAGAACCTAGCAACTGACATGTCAGTAATTTTTATGTAGTCTATATGGTTGTTAATTAAATGAACATAAATCGGTGTTATTAAGGCATCACAGTACTTTATGTCACAGAATATTATTCTTTTTTTTATCATCTTCTATGAATCATTGTGTGGATCAAACAGTCTGAAAATTCTGGTATGTTCCTGGTAGTAACACAAAATCTTTCTATGTGTTTGTTTCACAATAACATTTTAAGTTACAGTCTTTCAACAAAAGCATTTGCATATTAAACATGTAATATTATTCTTTACTTTCACGTGTTCTAGAAATATGTGGTTCTTTTGACACATTATTCATTGTTTTTACTTTTGGTAATTGTGGGCCCAAAGAAATATTCTCAATAATTCAAAAAGAAAAAAGATGCATCTTGGCAACAAATGGCTACATTTGGCCCTTGATGCTAGTGACAACAGCAAATGATGGGGACTGTGGCAAATTGAAGAGCCCCTGTCCCATTGAAAGGGGAGCCCCACTACTCTTCTCTAGCCAGTTGTTTCTTTACGGCAGTTTGGCCAAATACTCCCAAATCTTTTTATTTGGGGGAAAAAGAAGGGTAAAAATCTAGCTTTTTGTATTACATCTAATTTTTTAAATGTTGTGTTACATTTGCTTTTTTAACTCTGAAGAAGCTAAACAGAAGATGTCTTCAGGTCTCATGCTGTCCAAGGGCCACCAGTTTTGAACCTCTGAATTAAAATTATCCATAATAATAGAAGGTTGTTTTTATTGCTCAAATGCCTTACCTGTCAAACTTGAGCTAATAACAAATAACAGTCCTTATAGGGCCAGTTAATTCTATTTTTCTTCCCCTCTGGTTGGGAATCGTTTTTGAAGAGAAAATCGTCTTAGTATGAACAGGAGAAATGGGATAGTCTGGGTAATCCACAAAATGAACAACTAGTTCCTAAATAACTGAAATTTTACCATTCTATGCAGGTATCTGAATTGCATTAAGAAATCATTGGTCAGTTTTTCATGTTACTTCCTTTTCCTTTAACTTCATTTGGGCTTAGACCTTTGAGAAGTAGGAAAAATGCTAAGTGGGATAATATTTTAGAAAGGTAAATAAAAGAAATTCATCATGAAGTTATAGTAGCTTTGGATATAATAGAATTAATCTTGTTATACATCTAAACTAGTTGTCAGTTCTTTGAGGAAGCTGTTCAAAAACCTGTATAAAAGTAAATCAAATGGCCAAATGGTCTTCAGAAGCTTCACTAATTCTAATACAAAGCAGACAGTGATCGAGTCCCTGTAATAGGATATCAGCGTGTAGAGAAGTGTACTGAGAACATAATCATTAACAACACGCAGACTGCACAGTCTAAATGCATAACATATTTCTTTTTTAAGAGTAAGCTTTTTTCTAGTGTGCAAGTATTACCAAGAAATAACCTAGATACTTTGGAAAGCTGTATTAACTTTTCTCAGCGTGTTATTGGACAAATGGTCTTTTTGTTACATTATTTCAAAAGCTGCAATTTGAATGTAGTTTTCCAAACTGGATAAAAGAGACATAATCTTTAGTGTTTTTAAGGAGAACAAATGTCACGTTGTAACTATCCTCTTCCTCTGTTTCCTTTTTCAATTTTGTCTGTCATGAGCTTCACAGTTTGTGAAATGATTCCTTGTCTTCTTAATGTGCTTTAACTTAAATTTTGTTTGTTTGGCATAATTATTAAGTACTTTTGTAGTGTCAATTCCTTACTCTTTAAAGTTTGTATTGAAAGATTTAAATATTAGATCTTCTTTACTGACTTCAGGTAATTTGGTATTGATCCTGTCCGTATAGATAAGTTACTGAGACAAAAAAACAACAGCGTTTGAAATTCAAGAGGTACTTTTTGAGGGATAGAAAATGGAGGTCTTGCTATGGTGCCTAGCCTGGTCTCCATTCTCCTGCCTTGGCCTAGGAGGCATTTTTTATTAGCACTGGTACATGGAGTTTCTTTTTATGTGTGTTTACCATTGAATTTCAGTACACACGCTTCTGCTAAATTTTTAGTAGAATATTTGAGTAATAAATACCTCCTTTATACTCTTCAAATCACCTCTGCCCTTGGACCTAATAACTTAAGCCTTATCCATAGTTAGGGAGTGCTCTTTACCTTCACAGATACAATTTTTAAAATATTTTCAAAGTATGCAGGTAAGTACTGAAAATGGTCACAAAGACCCACCAGCATAGTTTCTCTGGAAGAGAACATTTTGAAATTGTTTGTTAGTCCTAAGAGTAGATTGACACCAGATTGAAACTTAGGATACCTTGATTCAGTTGCTTCCTGTCCATGCACTGAAACTCTTGAGCATATCCAATTTTTAAATCCATTAGATAGGGAATAAAACAAGTTTCCTAAACATACGTAAGATATATATATATTATGAAAATACTTATTCAGTAAAGACATTTTGTACCATTTGATAAAACTGCATATACCTCAATGCTTTTATCAGTTTCATAAGGTTTGAACCAGCTCATGACTCTATACTTTTAAAGCTGTGAGCTGAATATATTTTTTGTTTCCCCATTGGTGAAACAATTAAAACGTTTGTACTCAGGTAAGTTTGGAATACCCGAGTAATAAAAGTTATAACTGCTTAGCAGAGAAGTTGTAGCAACAGTATTATATAAATAAAATCATATTGAAATAAAAGACAGAAATAAAAGTTTTTTTGTAACAGTCTTTTCAAATTCATCTTTTTTGGAAAATTATCCTATTTTTCATGTGGTAAAAAAGCACTTTTCAATTCTGTGGGCTTCTAAAGTAGCTTGACTATTTGACAGTTGTGGCTGTTGAAAAGCATGTTGATGATTTGACATTTAGTTTGAGGGAGTATGTTGAACTTCCTATATTTTTTCTTCATTTAGTTACAACATCAAAGTTTTAGCTATTCTGTAACCCAAAGAGTTCAAACCTTGAATTATTATTGTTTTTATCCTATTGGCTTTTAAATACCTTTTTCCTGGCTTTGGTTGCCTGATGCCAAAACATTGCAGTGATGACTAAAAATTATATTGGGTTATCCACCTGTTTTCAAATATAACACCATTTTAGCACATAGGAGTTTGGAAAATATTTATTGATTGACTTTTCTGGATACTTAGTATTATCTAAAATTTTCATTAACAAAATCAATACTTGGAAGAGAAATAACGTTATTGGAATGTATCATTTTCATTAAGTTAAGAGCATTATAAACTCTTTCTCACTGTGTTAGTTGACATTCCCTACCCATACACAGTACATGACAGCAGCAGAAAGGGGCATTGAAAACATGCTGATAGTAATATGTACCAGACCTATAGTTAAAAATATCCCATAGGTGACACACAAACTTGATTAATCTGCATATATACTTGAAAGTTGATTGCAGGTTTGAATAGAAGCAAACCAATAACCTAAAGCAAAGCACTAGAAACCACAATAATACCCTGTTGAGGATTATATTGGTGATCACCATTGTTATAGCATAAGTAGCCATGATTAGTCAATAAATATCTCATGGAAAAATCTATAATGGAGAGTTTAATTTTTTCTTAATACAGTTGTGTTAGAGACACAAAATGGAAAGATTGTTGTAACTCTAGAGAAAGTTATAAATGATGATAAGCATTAAAACAAAGACTACGTTGCTGATTTTATATAAACCATGCCATAAGAGAGAAACGCAGAGGCAAGAAATGTGCCATCAGGACAGGAAAAATAGGTTCCTTCTAAAATTATTAACATAACATATGTAGTCTATGGCTTCTTCATCAGACTTATGTTTTATTTACACTTATACATGATTATATACATATACACACACATATATGGTTTCTACAAATAGAGCTGAATTTTCTCTAATATGTTACTATAGTGCTCACTATTACTGCAAGACTAATTTTTTTTTTTTTTTTTTTTATGGATCCTGAAATCTCTCTGGGATACCTTCATGATAATTCTTAACATTTATTTGCTGCGTGGACTGGTAATAACTAAACTACAGTTGAAGGGAGGCCATCCATGTGATTTAGGAAATGTAATTCCTGGGGTATATTACTGAAGCATAACAACTGAATTTAAGTATTAAGTTCAGTACTTACATTCACTTGTTTAAGAAAGACCCCTATTTTCTCTCCTCTAATTTAAAGATGATTTAATTTGTTGTTAATTTTAGCTACTACTTTCATTTCGATCAATAGCAACAATTTCCCAGTTCATGATTAAAAACTAAAAAGCATTTTGGCTTGAGCTACCTGTTTATCCTCATGTCTTGGTATTACAGTACTTTATTACAGATGAGAAAGAACATTTCCTAGATCTTGGATATGTAGAAAAAT